GTACCGGAGAAAAACCAAAAAAAAAAAAAGAAAGTTGAAATTATTAGGTAGGAAAATTTACCCAGCTGCATTTTAAATTAAATTCAATGTCATGGAAAGTTCATGTTCTTATAACCCAAACAACTCAAGGTTTCTGTCAAGATTCTCTCTGGAAAATATTTTTAGAAGGGCCTAAAAGTCTTAGGAAGGCAAATTAATCAATTCTGTAGGTCCTCAAACCCACTCCCACTGCACAACACCCCGTTTATGCTAGAAAATGCCCCAAAGCACATCAGAGATGTCCTTTAAACAAACAAGCTCTTGAGGACAAATTTCAAGGCTGTGACAAAAATCTTGCTTTTTTAAACATTAAGCTGTTGTTGTTTTTGAAAAGTAAGCCTCCAGAGGAAATATGGTTGTCTTGAGCATTTCTTTTAAAAATTAAAAAACAAAAATGAAAACAAACAAACAAACAAAAACCTCTTAAATCCCACAAGCAAGTTTTTTTGGTCCAGTCTGCCTAGTGTTCTCACAGTCGGTGTTTTCGTGTAAACCTGTGGTCCTGGGTTGCAGCAGACACAGGCAGGACCTGGACCCCAGGGGTGAACAGCTCTGCTGTGGGTTTGGGAACCCTAGAAGTGTCCTCGAAATGAAGCCCTGTAGAAGAGGCATCTCCTGCTTATCTGTCCCTCTGCCCTTGTGCGTAGCAGCCTTGGGCCCAGAATATATGTGAGAATGAGGCCAAACACTCTCTGCAGCTCTTTAAAATGCCATTTTAGGGCTGAGTGTGGTAGTGCACGCCTGCAGTCTTGGCAATCTGGGAGGCTGAGGCAGGAGGCTCAGAAGTTCTAGGCCAGCCTGGGTAACTTACTGACTCCGTAAGACTCTGTCTCAGAATTAAAAATAGAAAGGGCTGAGGTTGCAGGGTTCAATCCCCAGTACTCCACAAAAAAAAACAACAACTTATTTTCATGATGTTTCAGAAGGCAAACAACATATTTCACTACTTTGCAGTATAACTCCCCAAATCAAAGGTGCCGGGGATATAGCTCAGCAGCACAAGTGCCTGTCTGGCAAGCACAAGGTCCTGAGTTCAATTTCCAGTACCAAAAAAAAAAAAAACAAAAAACAGGGCATGGTGGTGCATGACTGTAATTCCAGCACTTGGGAGGCTGAGGCAGGAGATTGTTGCAAGCTCAAGGTGAGCCTGGGCTACAAAGTGAGCTCAAGTCCAGCCTGAACTGCATAGTGAGACCCTGTCTCAAAAGGGCAAAAAAAAAAAACCAACCCAAGTCAAAGCTAACGTTGCTCTGTGTACACAAGCGCCAACTCATTCCACACAGGACCTCAAAAGATCCCCAGGTCTGCATCAGGCCAGGCCCAGGAAGAAGGGCTGTGCAGGGCTGGCAGGGGGTGGTCAGGCTTGGGTTCTTAACCTCCAGCAGAGTTAGAAAGCAGGGCAGGGGGCAGCAGCGCCACCTGTCAGCACAGCAGGTACTGACAGGTCCACCTGCTGGCTGTGGCTCCTTGTGAGACACAGATCTCAGTCACCCCCAGCTCCAGGCACCACCCTTGCCCTTGCCGAGCGCTGAATCAGTGCAGCAGAAACCCAGACTCGGCCTGCAGCTGGGACCACAGTCACGGCAGGCACCGCAGGCTCAGTCTCTGGACCTCTTCCCGTGAGTTCGTGCCATTTAAACTCATCCACCTAAGAGCCCATCCCTGGAGACATTAGACCATCACCAAGCTGAAGAATCATGTCCCACAAAGGTCATGTCTCACAAGCACCCCTGAATCCACAGTTGCTACAGACAAATGGTGTTTCCTGGGCTCCTCCTGCTACTGATGGGTCACCAGCCAAGACATGAAAGCTTCCAACCGCTCAAATAATTCAACAGGTCAGCTGAATCTCAGAAGTCCCATGGCCACCAACATTTTCACACTGGGGTAGCATTTCCACTCCCATCCAGTGACACCTAGTTGCATCCCCCAGCCTTCTCCCCGTCGTATTGGACATCAAAGTTCCCTGATATACTGAGCCACCTACCTCTTTCAAATTGTAGTTTTTTGTATCTTTGCATTATTTCAGCTGCGACCATGCATTCGATCTAAAAGAGAAAAAACAAGGAGTATAACAAACAGAGGACTAAAGAGAAAGCAACATAATGCTACACAGACCCTGCCATGCCCCACACCCAAGGGCCTAGTCTGCACGTACCTCGTTCTCCTGCAGGTGGCCCTGCTTGGGACAGGCAGCATCCGGGCAGCTGATCGCAGTTTCAAGTCCTTCTTTGATCAAGAGCTCCACATACTGTTTCAGGCACTGGACGTAACACAGAGAGGAGTGCATCAACATCTCTTCCTCCTCATGCAAAGGCCCAGGGATGCGTGAAGGAAACAGCCAGCCACTCCGCTCTTCCCATTTTATGTCTCTTACCATGTAGCTCCTAGCAACCACCCAGGGAGGGCCCTGCAGGTTTGATTCATGTGCCAAGAATTTATGGGACTTCACACTGGGTCAGCGAGCTGAGGGTGGGTTGAGCTCTGCACACAACACCAGGGAACACAAGACCAACGCTCCACGCTCAGCAGGGAGAAAGGACAAATCTGTGTAGGGGGGGGCACTAGGAAAGGGCATGTCATACATACAAGAGAGATGTTTCAGGCACCTTACTGAATTTTATTGTTCATTGTTTCCTTGATTCTTCAGAATACCTTTTTTTCTTGCAGTACTGGGAATTGAAGCCAGCGTGTTTGTACTGAGCTACATCCCTGGCCCATTTTTAGTTTTTTATTTTGACACAAGGTCTTATAAGTTGCTTAGGCTCAGCCTAATCTTGCAGTCCTCCTGCCTCAGCCTCCCAGAATAATGGGATTACAAGCACGAGCCACTATACCTTGATAAAGGAGCTCAAGGGACACTAAGGGTGGAAAAGCCCAGGATAGGCATTCTCTCTGAGACACCAGAGGGCAGGACTGTCAGCAGTGTAAGGAACACACAGGGCTGGAGACAGAGGGGAGAGGTCACACCAAGTCCATGAGGCCTGCACAGTGGTCCTGCTTAGTTCAGAGGTGAGGAAGGGGTGTCACAGTGGCACGGAAGTGGGGTGTCCTACGTAGGTTCGTTTAACATGAGGAGGGAGCAAGACTCTTGAGGGCTTTGGAATCAGACAGATAGAAGCACCCCCCCCCCCCGTTCCTCCAACGAGAGGCCATGAACCAGTAACTTGATACACGTGACCATCAATTCCTCATGACAAAATGAGGTGCCCGTATGGCTGGACCTTGTATCAGTAAAACAGAAAGCATCTAGGATGGGCATGGTGATGCAGCCCTGTAATTCCAGCGCTCGAAGGATCATTGCTCATTCCAGGCCAGCTTGGGCTATGCAGTGAGTTCAAATCCAGCCAGAGCTACATAGCAAGACCCTGCCTCAAAAGAGAGAGGGAGAGAGAGAACCCAAGAGCACTTATAGCTATCATGATTCCTGGTACCCGTCACCAGCAAAGAAATCAGTGCCCGTTGTTACCTTGTTTGTCTACATACACGAAGAGGCATTAAAAAAAAACAACCCCTATCAACAAGATCATAATTTTACTCTCTATAATTAAGTTTACCTAAATTAGAGCTTTGGGGGATATTAGAATATCTTAAATCAAGGGAATGTGGAAAACCCTAATGATATTGGGCAGGGCAGTAGATAATGACAGCATGATTCCCCCCAAGAAGCAAAATACAGCAATTAAAATGGGCAAAATGTACACTCTGGGGCAGACTCTGAACACCGCTGTTCAGGAGCTTGCAGGGGCCCTTAGCAGTGAGTCATGTCTGGCCGATGGTGAGCAAGAATGGCCCGAGTTCGCCACAGGAGGGCCTCTCGGTGTTGTGCGTGCAGTGCTTCTGTCCATCTGTTTACTACACAAAGCCTGGAGAGGTCTGGGTGCCGCATCTTGTAACCATCTAAACAGCCCCGTCTCCTGCCAGAGAGGAAGTGGGTCATGACTCAGCGTGTTTTCCCATCTAACAGCAAAAAGATGTCTTGAAATGAGCATCGGAGAAGAGGGAGACAGAGACACAGCTGCAACGAGAAACACATGGTCCAGAGGCAGACGGTGACGCAGTTTGTGATTATCAGATCTATTGTACCTTGTTTGTTTTTTATTTTTTTGCAGTACTAGGGATTGAACCCAAGGCCTTTGTCCTGAGCTACATCCCAAGCCCTTTTTAAATTTTTCATTGAGACAGTTTCCCCAGGCTAGGCTGGAATCTGAGATCCTCCTGCCTCTGGCTCTCAGAATACTGGGATGAGAGGCGTGCGCCACCAGACACTTCTGTTGTCACTTTCAGTGCCCAAGGAGCACCAGGCCCTGAGTCCTTCGTATCTGGCAGTGTGCAAACCTTGGAAGTGCCACCTCTCCCAGTTGCTAGCTGGGCAAACAGAAGCTCAGGTCAGTGAAGATCCAGCACTAAGCCGTGCTTGGTAAGCACCATTCCTGGCTCTCAAACCCCAGCTCTCAAACCCTGTGAGCGGGACTCGAAAGTTGATGCGGCTTTTGGTTGCTAAATTTTTTACATTTTTGTTTGCTTCTTCCTTAGAGACTCTTTCCTAAATAGTCATAGACAAAGTGTTTACTGTGACCTCCAACTTTTTTGCAGAACAAAGAATGACAGGAAGCTGCTTTCCCTGGCCGTGTCTGAGAAGACACCGAGCAAACACTGGGCCCTGATATCAGATGCTCAGGCCCTGCTGTGGGAGCAGATGCGGCACACACTGCGCTCTGCCCCCAGAGGGGCTGGACACGGCCAGGTGAGGCTCTGACTGGCCACCCCGAGGAGCGAAGGAGTCTCCTGACTGGGGTCGGGGAAGGAGGCCAGACAGGAATGGTTGGCCCAAGGGAGTCCAGGAAGGAGCCTTAGCCAGGCGAAGACAAGGAGGGAGAGGGGCAATGGAGCCAAAGAATGTTCCAAGCTTTCCATTTTCCACTGTGGCTTCCAATGCTATCAAATCTGACAAAGAGCCAGCCCACATTTCTCCACCACACCAGAAGCTTCCCGCCAAGGAGCGGGGGGCCACATTGACCCATATGCCTCACTCCACACTGCAGAGTCTGAATTTTGTGTTTTCCCCTCAAAGGCCTATTGGCTACTGACTACCCTAACAGCAAGAGAAAATGCCCTGAAACTGGCCCCTAGGAAGCCTGCACAGCTTTGGCCTCTAAGGAACTGGAACATCTCACCCAGGCAGATCCAAACAGAAGGAGCAAAACCCCAGAGAAGGCACTTATTTAAGGGGAAGGGACCCTGGAATCAGAGAGTTGGGTTTGCAGCCCAGCCTGCCCACAGAGCGCCTTGCAGCCAGGCCAGGTCCTCATCTCTGCTCTGCCTCCTTGGGCGTGTGGTAAGCACGGCAGACACAGAGAGGACAGTGTGGGCTGTAGAAGATTGCTGGGATCCCCAAGCCTTTCCCCAGCCTTTCTGGAGCACTCAAGAATGGATGATCTTCTATGCTTATTTGCCTCAATAGGAAGTTGTATGAGAATGAGAGCTGTTTATTAGTTTCTTTCTACTCCCCACACCTAGTGGTGCTAGGAATTGAAAGTGGTAGGGAGCACGGGATAGGTCCATGCTGCATAGATGGACAGATGCAGGATAGATGGATGGATGGAGAGAAGGATAGAAGGATGGATGGAAGGATGGATGGATGGACGGATGGATGGACAGATGGATGCTAAATGAGTAGATGGATGTTTGAATGGATGGATGGACAGATGTTTAGATAAATGGATGGATGGATGGTAAACAGGTGGATAGATGTTTGAATGGATGGATGGATGGAGAGATGGATGGAAGGGTATGGGTGTGCAGAAATGACCAGACACCTGTGGAGAACCCTTTCCCTGCCTCTCAGGAGAGGACTGAAGACCTGGGACAGAGACCACACTATCTACACATGGCTATGGCAAAGCACAGCTGGGTGCGTGGCTCCACTGTCTGCCCAACCAGCACTGCTGTGCCGTGACACCAGCAAAAAGCCCCACAAGCAAATCTCGAGGGGTGGTTTTGGGAACCCAGATAAAACTGCCCGCAAGCCCACAGCTCCTATTCTGGCAACAATGATGACCTTCCAGACTACAGGACATGATTTTAATAACAAGCCAAGAGTCTAAAATATTAAGGCTGCTTCTGTAAAGTTACTGCATTAAACACCTCCAAACCTTAGATGTAAAAAATATGTTCCCATCTTCAAATCCTCCCTGCAACTCTCACTCACAAAACCCTCCAGGTCCTATACAAGTGTGCCCTGTGAGCTCTAAGGCTGTGTCCCTGGTGTAACCTTTGAAACTTCGTATGGTTCCTAGGGTGGGGTCCTTCAAGTGTAGAACAAAGAACAAGATATGAGATTACATCCCTAAAACCCCAGCACACTGGGAGGTTGAGGCAGGAGGATAGCAAACTCCAGCCCAGCCTGGACAACTGACTGACTTTTCGAGACTTTGTCTCAAAATAAAAAATAAAAAAGGGCAGTGGGGATGTAGCTCAATGGGAGAGGGGGATTTTAATCTAAAGAGCAGGTGCACTGGAACGTAGAGGCACGCAGCAAACATTCCGGAATGGCTGCTTCCACCTCCCCAGCCTGCAGAACCCTTTTTAGGAGCTGCAGAATTCTGGCCATGCAGTGGGCTTCTCAGAACAGTGAGAAGACACGGACCATAGGCCTTTGGTATGGCACGAACCTTCATCCACCAATGGTGCACCCCTTTGTCTTTTATCAGTAAGATTTGGAGGCCCCCAACAGCCCAAGATAAAATAGAAGGCCTCCAAGTTTGAGTCCCTGGGTCACACCGGTCTGGCTGCCATCTGCAAACATGAAAAGGGGAAGGGCGCAAGACAAGGGATGACTCTGCAGGAAATGAGCCCTGCTGTGGTCCCTTCGCCGTTGGGACCCGCACCGGCCACCCCATCCTCCTGGGGCACACTTCCCCACCCTCACCCGCGTAAGGCACACTGAGCCCCTGCTGTGCTCTGGCACCCTGACAGCTGGGGTCCCTCAATACCGTACCTCTCAGACCCTGAGGAGCACCTGGGCTGTGCCCCGAGAACTGCAGAGACCTTGGACCTCCAAAACCTCACCTCTCAGAGCAGCCAGGAAGCAGGGCAGCTGCCAGGCCTCCTTTGCCTTCCCAGGCCGCTGGGGACCAAGGCTCGCAGAGGGGAAGGCAAGTGACCACGAAGCCTCAGCTGCCCCCTGCGCGGAACACTGCCGCCAATGGCAGACAGCGGGGAGCTCTTTCCATTACTTTAATTTTTCACAAATAGCGGAGGGGGATGGAAATCAGGACTGTTTTCCTGCTTCTGGGATCTCTAGAATGGCCTGGTCTCACATTCCCTGAGTTAAGCTTTCCGCTGGGAAGAGCGCTGCTTATTTATTTCACTACAATTCCCCAGAAGGAGGAAACCAAAACAAAAACAATGAAATGCAAGCTGGTCGGGGAGGGCCGGACACTTTCAGCAGGAAAAGCACACAGCACAGCCTGTGGCAGCCTGCAGGTGAAGGAGGAGAGAGCAGCGGAAGTCCCCAAAGGCTTTGGCAGAAAAGGGCAATCTTGCAATTAGTGTGGACTGTAAAAAATGTCCCTCCGGGCATCAGCAAGGGGTGCTGCAGAAAGCTGCTTATTTCAAGTACCTTGACAAGCTCACCCTCTCAGCTCGGCCTCCAGAAAGCGCTGAGCACACACCTGTGATAACTGCACAAGGTCCCCCTCTCCCCCTCTCCCCCTTTCCCTCCCTCTAAAACCATTTCCCCTCCTGCACTTTGAAGTTGTTTTCCCAGGGCTTTCACGAAGCACGTCTCTGGGATGTCAGCTCTAGCGCAGGGATCAATTCACTTCCATTCAATTTGTGAGCCCTGATCGATTTGCTAGCATGAGCCCTGCACTTAGCGAGGTGTTTAGCGGATGCAGGAGAAGCCAAGTCTTCTGGGCATAAGAAAGAGGCAGCAGCAAGAACTCAGAGGATGGGGGACTTAAAAGCAGGCAAGGCTGGGGCTCCTGATTCAGACTCTGAGAAGATAATGGGTGCTGGGCTCCATCCCAGGGCAACTGTGAACAAAGCCTGCAAAGCAAAAGCATGAACAGCATCTCCACAAGTGCAGACAGGCAGAAGGACTACCTGAGTGACAGACTCTCACCTCCTCCTCTAAAAAGTGCACAGGCAACTGCCCCTGCTGGCAAGTTAAGGTAGAAATTAAATTCAGAGGCAACACTTGAACTTTCTGTTTCCCTGATTGTTTTCAGACAGGGTCCTGCATTGTAGTATAAGCTGGCCATAAACTCACTATGTAGCCCAGGTTGGCCTCCAACTTATGATGATCCTCCTGCCTCGGCCTCCCAAGTACTGGAACTAGAGGCATGCACAAGCCTGCCTCAGCAGCACTCTTGGATTTTTAAAGAAAGTTTCCCTACTCGCTTAAAAGTCATGACTGTGGCAGTACTGAATTTGGGGGCTTTACTGACATATAACTGACAAATAAAAATTGTATATGAACCAGGCGTTATGGTGCACACCTGTAATCCCAGCACTTTGAAAAACTGAGGCAGGAGGATCACAAGTTTGATTTCTGCCCGGGGAACTTAGTAAGGCCCTGTCTTAAAATAAAAAATTAAAAAGGCTGAGGATGTAGCTAAGTGGTATCACTAAAATTAAAAAATAATAATAATAATAAAGACTGTGCATGTTAGGGGCACACCCTAACCCTGATGTTTTGATGTATGTTAAGCTTTTGTTTGTTCTAGTGAAAACCATTCATGTCTTTCAGCAATCTCCTGAATAGAATACAGCACGACCAACCACATTCAGCACCGCTCAGACCTCCAGAATGCCTACATCCTGCAAAACTGAGACTTTATCCCCTCCTCCCAACATCGCCCGAGTACCGCCAGTGCCGCACCACTCTCTACCTTGGTGAGTTTACTCTTTCCACTTCTGTTTGGGAATAAGACCAAGTAACATTAAATGATAGCAGCTACAAGTAAACTCATTTTCTGATTTCTCACTCACTCTTCTTTCCCGATGCATAAAAATTATAGGTTGGAGTTAGACACAAAACCAAAACTTCCTGAGTTGGAACTCCATTTTCATTAAAACACAAATTATCTGGGATCTATTTTTAGCCCCTAGGGATGTTGGCTCCATGTTAAAGAAAGTTCACTCTAGCTAGATACCCTGTTACAGTCTCAAGCAAGGCATTTGAAATAAATTAAAATGAGAGGTGAGAAAGCTTTTCCAGTCGGACAAGAATATGTGCCGTGACCAGTTCTCTAATTCATGTAACCAGCCAGCTTTTGTACTCCAAGGAACCCTCTGATACAGCTTAGCTGCAATTCCCCAAGTGTCCCTCTTGTGTGGAAGGGCCCTGGATCATGGGGTGCTGTACTCATCCATGGATTTGTCCATGGCTGAACATGCTCTTTCAAGTGGGGCCAGTCACTGGCGAGGGGTGACCTAGAAGGTGCATTCGTGTCCCCAGTTCCTCCCTTCTCTCTCTGTTTCCTAGTTACCGTGAGGTGAGCAGCTTTCCTACGCCAGACCCTTCTGCCATCTTGTTTGTGCCTTGGATCCAGTCAACCATGGATGGGAAATATGGGCCAAAATTATAAACTCTTTTTTTCTAAGAGTTGTGAGCATCAGGCATCTCATCCCTTAGACAAGAAAGTGATTAAGATACCCAGGTTGGGGCAGAAACCTTCTACTCTGGGCTGCTGCCTGACTTACAGACCTCTCTACATCTAAAAACAGAAGCCATGCAAAAGCCTCAACAAAGAGATTCTATCACCCCACAACAGTTACTCAAAAGCATTTCTTGGAATGCCTGGAACCAGAGCATAATACTCCCGATGGCTCCAGTGGAACATGACCTTGACCCGAGACCAACCAGGGTACAGAAGATGCACTGGCACTGGGCGATGGTGGTCATCTGCTCCACTGGGTACTCCCCGAGGCACAGCTTGCAGGATACCAGCGGGTCGAGGGCCAAGTCCCAGGTGGGGCGGTACCGTGCTGTGGTCATTGCAGAGCAGTCTGAAAAGAGAGACACATGTGGTCAGAGCTCCGGCCTATGGCCTCTGCGGGACTACTTCCAGGGCCTGGCCAAAGACGGGGCCAGGAAATATACAGAACTCATCTCAGTCCTCTGAGCTTTTTCAACCAGGGTTACTGACTTGGATCAATGGTGGATCCTTTACCATCCTGACAATAACTATTTTTTTAATTTTTATTTTTATGGGTTCACATTGGCAGGACATATTGGACACATTCTTCATGGGAAGACACTACATATACATAACACGTCCTAATTCCATGTTTCACCAAAAATATGATCTATAGGGAAAATGAGTGCTGGCTGTCACAATGGTGATGGCCAGGGTCATGCAGACTGGGCAGGGGTCAGCACCTATCCTTGGGGGCTCCCAGCCATTGCCTATTGACTGCGTAACTAAATGTTTCCATCTGAGAGTATTAAATCCCCCCTAAGCCCCCTTGATTTTAGCCTCCTGCTTCAGTCTGTACCCAAACTACTATAATTCCAGCACTCTGGGAGGCTGAGGCGGGAGGACTACAAGATCTAGTCCAGCCTGGGCAACTTAGCGACTCAGTGAGACTCCAGATCAAAATGAAATTATAAAAACCAGATATGGTAACCCATACCTGTCATCCCAGCACTCTGGGAGGCTGAAGCAGGAGGACCACAAATTCCAGCCAAGCTTCTTCCAAAGAACTCAGCTATTGGATTGAACCATTTTTATTGTGTTTTCTCAGTGCTGTGTTTTGGAACCACAGCCTTTGCACTGAGCTGCCTCCCCAGTCCTTTTTACCTTTTTATCTGGAGGCAGGTGTCTTACTGGGTGTCTAAGATGCTCAGCAAAAACTGAAGCCTTGCAAAGCCTCCCGCCTGATCATGAGCACAGTGACACGGCCCAAGACAGTACATGCAGAACCTTGGGCTGAAGTTTCCTGGGGGGGTGAGGCATCCCCTAAATTTCCCCCTGCTCCCCATCCTGGCAGGGCAATATCTCCCAAGCAGTTCCCTGTCCTGAAACCTCTCTGGCCTTTGTCCTGTCTTTCCTGTCTCCCAAGGTCTTTTCTTCCCAGCTTGGGATCTGGACTCTTCCTGTTTACAAACCCTCCAACGTGACCCAGGGCACCGCATGGAGGGCTTGCTCTGCCCAGCTTCCTTGCTTTCTGCATGACCCCAGACAGTGTGACATCGCTGGGGCCTCTCTTCTGCTCCTGACCAGACCCATAACCTATGGGTCTGAAGCAGATTCGGTTCTCATGTGCGAACCACATCTGTGTTCTTTTCCCCTGAAGAGTCCACAGTCTCTGAGCTGTGCTCCACATGGCGATTCCAATGCTGGCCACAGTAAGACTTCCCTCTGTGTTAAGTGTGCATCGTAGAGAACCGTCACGGGCCTTCCTGTGTGGGTGGGAAGCCCTCAGTCTGATCCTGCAAACGCTGAACAGCTGCAATTTTGCAACAGGAATTTGCTAAGAGAATCACAATGCACCAAACAAGAAAACACAGGCTTTGTTTTCGTAATGTGAATGTCAAGGCCTAGGAAGCAACAAACTATTTTAAGAACATCTGGGTGATTACACATATTATTCAATTTAAGCAATTTGAAAATGTTTGTAAGGCAAGTAACTTATTAAGCACCACTGAGGTTATGGAAAAAGCGGTAGGTCGTGATGCATGAGGCTGGGCCTAGAGTATAAATGAATTAAAGAGCAGAGCACAAGAGAGAGCATGGAAAATGGGGAGGCGGGTCTTTTTGCAAATGGGAAGGGGACCGAGAGACACAGGGAGGGGAAGGGAGAGAAAAAGAATGAAGATGTATGACACATGCACAGCGACTCTGTGTGATCATTATGTACTGGAAATCCGGATATATAAAAATTGAAGGTAAAAACCAAGGGGCCCACACATGACAATAGTCCAAGCAGTGTATTAAGATCAATGCAGTTGTTGGCTCCAGCCATCCCTTCTGTCCCCTGCCACCCTGGCCACCTGTAAGTGCAGTGAAGGAGGACAAGGGAATCCGGCCCGTCCTGCTCCACCTCTTACTTCGCGACTCCTCAGGGTCCTTGTGCTCCCAGAGGTGACCAAGTCTCACCGCACTGCCTCCCTGACCCAACTTGCTTCTCCTTCCCCACCGCTTCTGCAAACACCACCAGCCCTCCACACTGAAGTCCACCCCGGTGCTCTGTGAAGTCTCCCCGGTTGCTTCTTGTCCCTGCTGCTGCCTGTGGCCTACCCAAGGGCCTCACAGTGTCTGCTGCCAGAGCAGAGTCACCTCAGAGTCCCCATGTGCAGTTTCCTGGGTCCAACTCAGACCAGCTAAAGCAGAATCTTGGGGGCGGGTATGCACACACTGCAAGCTGTGTGTTTATGAGCCTTTCAAGGGACCCCGATTCACAACACAGTCTGAGGGTCAGGGGCCTGTGTCATTCCACTTGATGCTCTGCTCACTCCTGCCACCCAACTCCCAAGCCCCTCATCCCAAGTGACATCCAGACCGAGCACCCTGGGTCAGCGTCTGCATAGCAACCTTCAATCTTCATCACACCTCCTTCCGGGTCAGTGTGCTTCTTGAGGTCTATGATATGTATTAATCTGTCACCTTCTGCAAGAGGAGGGCGTGTTACCTAAAGGTAATGCTGGGCACAAGGGGATAATCCATAACCACAGCAAATAATGAGGTGACAACATACATAGTAAATGTTTAAATTAAAAGTAATTATTACAGTAAAAGACACATTGTCAAGAATCCCCCTCAAAATCCTCCCTCTTGCTTTGAACACACTCATCCCAGCATTCTTGCCACTTCCTGGAGCAGCTCTGGAGTCCTCTTTCCTGAGTGTCTTTACGAGTTGCAATCAAAAATATGGTGACTGCTGCTGCCAAGTGCCATGGACAGAAAGGCAGCCTGTGAAGACACGATGCGGTGTCCTTATCCACCTTGTACATCAGATTTGGCACTGTGTGACTTCTAGTTCCTCCTCAAAATCAAAAGGACCATGAAAGGGAAATGTTTTATATCCATTCAGGACATTGAGGCAGCCGGGACAGTGCAACTAAAGACACGCAAGTCTCTTTATTTATAATTGTTTAACTCCTTGGGTTTTGCTAGGTGACTGACTAACCTATACTCACACTAGGAAGTGTATTCAGCAGAGCTCAACTAAATTGCAAACACCTTTTCTCGTGGGACAGCTCCCTATTAAGGTTCTGCAGGAGGAAGAAACTCCTCACTAAATTTAGGGATTGTGGGGAGCAGAAACAGCAGGAACCTGACCCCCAAAGGAGGCCCACAGACTAGAGGGCGCACTCACCTGCCTGGGCCACCACAGTACAAGGGCAGTGGGTGACAATTTCACAGGAGGAACTGCCCACTGCCATAGAAGGAAGCGGAGGCTGCATGCGCATGATAGGAATGTGTATACTGAGTATACTGTGTACTTTTAAAATCCTGCCTATCTGGGAGTGGTGTCAAATGCCTATAATCCCAGCCTCAGGAGGCTGAGGCAGGGGGATTGCCACAATTTTTGGCCAGCCTGGGCTACATAGTAAGTTCAAGGCCAGATTGAACTACATAGCAAGACCCTGTCTCAAAAAATCCAAAGAAAATTTAAAAAAATAAAATCTTTCCTAATCCATCTGTCTACACCTTTTACTGACTTGTTCTAAAAAATTATTTTTCTGTGACAGAAGCCAGTGAGCATCTGTAGCCTGTGCCATGGAGGGTGAGGGGTGGGCCAAGGTTTCTCAGCTCATTTTGGGGGGATGTTGTCCAGTGACAGGGGCTTTCTAAACCTTTCCTGTGCCCCTGTCAGGGTGTGAGGTAGGTTGGTCGCTAGAAGCTGCCCCACAGTAGGGAGAGGACAGGGACTGGCCCTGGGCTTACAGCTGACACTTCCCTCCATCCCTGGTGTCTGTGCCACCCGTAGCACAGCTGGAATGGAAAGAAAAGCCAGGACAGGGACCAGCTCTCTGCCAGTGACTCCCAGGACTCCTCAGATCTGAGACATACCCAGCTTTTGCACAGCACAGAGATCCTGCTGGAAAGGGCTCTGGAGAAACATCCAGCCTCCAATGGGGCTGGGCTAAGCCTCTTCCTCCCCGGCCTCTGCAGATCTGCAGGACCGATCAGCTTTTGGAAGCAGCCTCCTCCACAGGCCTGGCCTGGGAAACAGCTGCCGTCCACGCAGCCAGCTCGCTGTCCTCATCCAAGCTTGGCGCAGAGGAAGCTGCCCTCCTCAGAGCACCGAAGAAACACTTGCATACAAGTTTCCCATTTCCTGGTAGCTTCAACCTCATGCTCTGCTTCCCACAGGGGGCCCCAGACTCAAGAGAGCTTTTGACCCCAGTCCAGGGATGAAAGGCAAAGAGAGACAGAGGACCCATTATTTCAACTCCAGTGGATGTGTCCAGATAAATAGGAACTTTTGGTTACTGGTGAACAAGGCTTTAAAAATCAAACATCAACGTTAAATTTTAATGTTGAAAGGGGTCTTCAGATCGTTTTTCTTTTCAGAGCTGTTTCCTTGCTCTGAAGGGTTTAGAGATTTGCTAAGGAGCCAGGGCGCCCACCTCCACCCCCACACGCCACCTTCCTCTCTGATAATGAAAAACCTTCCTGGCTAGTGACAGACCCTCTCCTTCTTGCTTTGTTTTGTTTGCAGGTAAGGGCTCAAGGAAAAATAAGCACATCTGAGCAGGGTATGTCCATCTAGGATCAACCTTGGAGAGCTGTGGCTGATCTGATTTTAATCACAATCTGATACACAAAGAACTGTCTATGGGATTGGGGGCAGGAGGCTGGTTGCTACCAGCATTAGGCAGGATTTTTTGGTGGGGTCCTCCTGTAAATCAGTGCTGAGCACCCTGGAGACCAGGCCAGTGGCCAGCTTGGCAGGGCCACAACCGCATCATTCATTAACCCGGAGCCCTGCAGCTCACAACAAGCCTGGGAGGATTTGGGGTTTGGGGCTTACCAAGCCCTTGAGTGAATGGGACAGGG